GCCCTCCCGACCCCCCGTCTCTTGACTGCCCCCTCCAGAACCTCCCTGCCCCTTCTCTGACCCCCTGGCCCCCTTGTTGTTGGCCTTCACCTAATGTCTCAGTGAACTTGCTCAGGAACGGCCGGAGCTGTTCGTCCCGGCACGCTGGGGAGCGGGGGACGAGCTCCAGACTGCCAGAGGCGATCTGCAAATGCAGGGAGTGATCTCTGCTGTAGGGGAAGCAGAGGAGGGGCTCTCTCTGGCTGTCAGAGCCCCATGTAAGTGGCACCATCCGACCAGCTGCCCTGTTAGCCGCGCGCGCTCTGCATGAGCATGGGGGGGGGGGGAAGTCTGGACATTTACAAATTCCCCCCCGGATGCTAGTTTTAGCTCAAATCCGGACATGTCCGGGGGAATCCGAACAAATGGTAACCCTAAGGCACCAATAGTTCCTTCCACCACATTTAACTCCTACTCTGAACACACTTGCTTCAGTATCCTGGGTTTCCCTCACCTGTTCTCTTGGTTCTTTTTGGGTCAGGTTTGGCCGCAGGTCTCCCTTGATCTGGTGCTACTTGCAGATGGCTGTCACGGGCACCTGCACTGCCTTCTCGCCCAGCTTCACTGCCTACTGCATCTTCCGTTTCCTGACCGGAATGGCCATCTCGGGCATTGTGATGAACAGTGTCTCTCTGTGTAAGTGTGTCTGGCGCCTGCCATCCCAGACACAAGATGAGCTGGTTACTGGGGCTGGACGGAGGTGCCTTGTTCCCGCTGCTAATAAATTACTCTGTGGTGGGAGCACAGAGAGACCAGAAGCACACACACCGCATGGGTGGGATGTCTAAGGTCTCAGCACCAAAAATCGGGAGCTAGATTTTCCAAAAGTCCTAGGTCCCATTCCAATCTGGATTTACCAAAGCACTCAGCAGCTCCCTTTGGGACACCGATTGCCACAGTTGAGAAATACCTGAGCACGTTATTTAGGAGGTATTTTGCAACTCAAAATCGGGGCCTGTCCTCTTATAAATATGTGGTGCCTAAATGAGAACTGAGTTCTGTGGAACAATCCCACCTCCGTGTGCTTCTGCAGCGCCAGAGCACAGGAGATGGCCCAAAACAGGGCAGCTTCCAATAGCATGCAGGTCCCCAAGAATGGAATGGAAGCTATTAGAGTGAAATGCCGTCATCAGATGACGATGATTCACAACAGAACAGAGATTCCACAATACATCTTCTACAGGCCATGTGTATCAGCCAGGAGCTACAGAATGCCCTCCTCATTACTAGAAAGTCCCTGCACTATTCAATGTATACAGGTCCTCTAGGAACTGAAGAACCCAGGGGCAGTTGGGTATCAGAGGCTAATGGGACTCAGCCTATTCAATTACGTAACAGCTGTGTATTGTGGCTGACATACTTCAGGGTGCATAAGTGTGCCATTGTGGGATGTTGGAGCTGCTGCAACCCTGCAGGGTACAGTACAGCCTGCTACTGTTGGGGGGGGGGTCTTCTGGAGTGTTTGCAATCCTGCAGAGGGCAGTACTGCTTGCTGCCACTGGGGGACTGGTGCTGCTGTAGCCCTGCAGGGTACAGTACTGCTTGCTGCCACTGGGGGACTGGAGTTGCTGCAGGGTGCAATACTGGCTGCTGCCATAGGGAGGGGGAATGGAGTGGCTCCAACAGGGTGCAGTACTACCTACTACCACTAGGTGGGATGCAACTAGCAGGGGAAGGAGGCATGGATCGGGGAATGCAGGTTCTGGGGAGCTATTTCATCTCAGCCTCAAAGAGCCAGGGGAAGGCTGTTTGTACATGTTCCTGCTCCCTCCGCTCATCCTTGTTCTCACCACTGGAGGTCATCAGCCCAAGGACAGAGAGATTATTTTCCCTTTGTGTGTGTCTCTCCCCAGCTGTGGAATGGACACCCACCCGCACACAGGCCGTTGTGATCACCATGTTTGGATACTGCTACGCAATCGGGCAGTGCATTCTGGCTGGGGTGGCTTACACCATCCCCAATTGGCGCTGGCTGCAGCTTGTGGTGTCTTTGCCCTATTTCATCTGCTTCATCTACTCCTGGTAGGTTAGCTCACCCTTATCCTTTCTGATCTATTCCCCTTCCACCCTGCTTTTCTCACTGGATGCCGGAATGAGACAAACTTTAAGCAAGTAGAATAAACAAATCTCTTATCCTGGTTCTCATAATCTTGCATCTTGATTACTGCAACATCCTCTTCTTCGGCCTTGGCAAATGTAATCTTGCTCCACTTACATCCATTCAAATCACTCCTGCAAAGATCATTTCCCTGTCTCATCGCTTTGTCCATGTCCCCTCTCTTTGTAGCCCTCCACTGGCTCCCCATTCTTCATCACATCATACATAAACTACTCATCTTCACTTTCAAAGCCATTCACGCCCTACTGCACCATACCTATCCCATCTGTCATTCACTAGCACAGTGCCGACTCCCAACTCCGAATGGCCCAGGATACCTGCCTCCGTTGCCCGCTTGCTAAATTTTCAAACAAGCATCTTTGTGCATTCTATCATGCTGCCCCTCATACCTGGGAGGAGTTCCCCAGTAAACATCAGCAAAGGTACCTCATTGTCCTTCTTCTAACTCTCCTTTGCTGTGTGGCTTACGAAAAAACCTGACGACGGTTAGGCTGCAGGAGTGCAGAGACGATTGCCTATCATGCTGACCAATATTGTCTCGCTGTTTCCTTGTGTTCCCCCTATACACCTGTTGCTGCTTGTCTTGTCCTTAGGTTATAAGCTGTTTGGGGCAGCGACTGTCTTTTTGTTCAGCACCTGGGACAATGGGGTTGTGCCCACTGACTGGGCCTTCAGGGCATTACAGTAATGCAAATAATGAACAAAGAAATATGAAAGCTCAGGAGTTTCATACCTAGAAGTGTTTCAGCAAACCAGGGCAATGGCAAGACTAAGAGGATAACGTATGAATAGAGAGAGTTGAAGATTTGATGGCTTAAATTTGTTTTCCATGAAAATGGCTCCCCCCCCCACCCCCACAAAATTCCTTCAAAAATTTGCAACGAAAGCAAACATTTTATTTTAGTTTTCAGGATTTTTTTGGGTGGGGGGGTTGCTGAAAAATAACCATTTCTTTCTAAATTTGTCAATTTTTTCAGTATTTTGGACCCTTTTTTCTACTTTCCCCCCATTTTCCAGTGGAAAAATGAAAGCAAAAGGGGGGGGGGGGAAGAGGAAATAAAAAAACAAACATACCCCAAAATGGAAACAAAATGAAAACTTTTGTTTTATTGATAAAAATTTAAAATATTGTGAACATTTTCCAGTGAAACCAAAGAGGGCTCTACTCCACCCATAATGTCACTGCTAGGTAATATGAGGAACTGACCTATCATGGGTATTTATCTGGCATTCATCACCATAGTATCTAGGCACATCAATGTTTAATATCCTCATAGCTAGAGCAGGCTGGCAACAAACATGAGTTTTTGAGACTTTGAAAAGTTTTCCCATCCTGAATCTGGCCAAAAGTCAAAACCAGGAAAACTTTTGTGAATTGATCATCTGAAAAAATATTCCGGTTGGGTCAGTTGAAATGTTTCCTTTTGATAATTTTGAAATTTTTCTTTTTGATCTGGAGCTTGTTTATTTAACACCTCCTCCCCCCCTCCCTTTTTTTAGGGTAAATGACCAAAATGTTTTGAAACTTTTAATTTTGACAAAGGACAAATTTTGAAACTTTTTCCATTTTCTTTAAATCAAGAGATTCACTGAAACCGACCTTTCCCTGCAAACAGTTTCAGTTTTGACAAATCCACATTCTTCAATGGAAAAATATTTCAGCAGAAAAGTGCCTACCAGCTGTAACCACAACACCCTTCTGAGGGAGAGCAGTGCTATTATCCTATTGTACAGATGAGGGGATTCAGACACAGACAGACTAAGTGACTAGCAACGGTCACACAAGAAGTCTGCAGGGGAGAAGGGAATTGAAGTCAGCTCTCGGCTATCACCATCCTTCCTTCCTGATGCATGGCAAGGTGCAATACCACCTGCTGCCACTGGGCAGTATCCTGACAGGAATGGAGCTTCAGGTTGCAGTAACACTTGGCTGTCACCAGGGGACTGCAGGTAGCAAGGGGAGGAGATAGACCACAGAATGCAGGTTCAAGAATCATAGAATATCAGAGTTGGAAGGGACCTCAAGAGGTCATCTAGTCCAACCCCCTGCTCAAAGCAGGACCAATTCCCAGCTAAATCATCCCAGCCAGGGCTTTGTCAAGCCGGGCCTTAAAAACCTCCAAGGAAGGAGACTCCACCACCTCCCTAGGTAACGCATTCCAGTGTTTCACCACCCTCCTAGTGAAATAGTTTTTCCTGATATCCAACCTGGACCTCCCCCACTGCAACTTGAGACCATTGCTCCTTGTTCTGTCATCTGCCACGGAGATGACAGAACGTTCCTCCGTGGAACTGAGGAATAGCCTCAGTTCCACGGAGGCTATTCCACAACATGCTCCCTGCTGCCTCTGTCACTGCTTGTGCCCTGCACTGGCTTTGGGCACTGCCCCTAGTGTAGAAAAACAGCACCGTGCTCCAGTGGGGCTGATCGCAGTTCAACAAGTGCAATGGGTGTGTTCCGTGCAGGTGTGTTTTCATATCTTCTGCTTCCCAGGTGGTTCGCGGAGTCCGCCTGCTGGCTGGTGATAGCCGGCAGACCCGACAAGGCAGTAAAGCAGCTCCGGAGAGTAGCCAGGATAAACCGGAAGAAGGAAGAAGGAGACAGACTCAACATAGAGGTAAGACTGGATCCCAGAGAGGCTGAGAGCTCCCACCAACTCCAGCGGCCGATATAGGCATGCGAGACAAGCAGATATAAATCAGTGTGGTTGCACTCATGTCATGGGGACTCTGCACAAGTACACCAGTGGCACAACTGGCTTTAGTGTTCCCTGAGCAATGGAATTCTCACCATGGTCTGACTTCTTTCTCGTACAATGGGATTCCCATACCTACAAGGTATCTTCTATCAATCTCTCTACCTATAGTTGTACATACATAACCGCCTATCCAGCCATCTAAGCATCCATCTTTTATAAACATATACTCATACACATAATATCTCTATTAATCTCCATCTATCTTTCATCCCCCCCCCCACCCCACACACACCTCTATCCATCCATCTCCATATAAACATTTCTGTCCATTCAACTATCCATCCATCCCCATGCACACCCTTCTATTTATCCATCCTTCCCTCCCTTCCTAGATATATACTTTATTTTGTCTGCACTGAGGCCAGCTCTGAGACAAGAATTTTGGCAGCACTGGATGATCCGAATCTCATTCCCTCCTATTCCTCAGCCCTGTTTCAGGCCTTTCACCCTGTTGGAGGCCCCATGCTGTTACCCAGACCTCTCTTCTCTCCCCAGGTCTTGAGATCCAACATGCAGAAAGGAATAGCCTCTGCAAAGAGCAGCCATACCTTCTTCGACCTGGTGCGGACCCCTGTCGTACGCCGGATCTCCTTCTGCCTCTGCTTTGTATGGTTAGTCGGCTCTTGTGTTCACAGAAAGAGGAAGCTGAGATTATAAGTAGACCTGCAGCAAGTAAACCAGGCATGACAATTTGCTGAGGAACAGGGCAAATTATGGATTTTTTGACCTGCAGGCAATTTGAAAAAAATCAGTAAAAAAAAAAAAATCATTTTGTGTTAAACAGAACCATTTTTTTCCTTAATTTTTGACTAATAAAAAAGTTGGAAAAAATCAAGTGAAGCATTTTGTTTTGATTTTAAATATTTAAAGATTTTTTTTAAATAAAATTAAAGGAATGTTTGAGACAAAGATTCATTTTGAACCAAAACTGAAAAAATTTAGATTTTGTTTTGTTTTTGTTTTGTGGGGCTTTTTTAAATCTGAAACAATTCAGCAAAAGGGATATGAATTCCCTAAACATTTTGATGTTGTTGAGTCTGCATTGTGTTAAATGTTTTTGATGAAAAATTTTGCTCACCTCTACTAAGCCGCACTGACACTCCACTTCATCCCATGGCATGTCAGTGACAATCAATTTCACCTTGATTGAATATCCCACTAGATCACAATTCAGTATGTTATAGCTAGACTTCGGTAAATCCCACCTGAGAGACAGGATGTAGAGAAAACCACCAGGAGGTGATTCTACCCAGAAGCAGGAATAGGACTCAGGAGTCCTGGCTTCTATAGTCACCTATTCCTAGTCCTAGGACACATTCCATGTGCAGAGCTGGAGAAAGAACCCAGGAATCCTTGGTGCCTAGTGTGTCCTGTTCCAGCTATTGGCCCCCATTCCTCTGAGAGTTAACAGAGCAAAGTCCCCTCTTCCTCTAACCACTAGGCCCCACTCTTCTTCCAAAGCTGGAAATAGAACCCAGGAGTCCTGGCTCTCAGCTGCTCCCCAGTCTAACTCACTAGACCCTAATCCCCTCCCACAGCTATGAACAGAACACAGTGCAGTCTACCCACTAGACTACACTGACACCCAAAGCAGTGAAGAGAACCCAGGGGTCCTGACTCCAACCACTAAACACATTTGCAGGGCCTATTGATGAAAGGGAACACACTTGTAACAAATAAACTCAATGAAAAGGACTCTCTATGCATCAATACCTGTCTGCTTCATCCCAGGTTCTCCACCAGCTTTGCCTATTATGGGTTGGCCATGGACCTGCAGAATTTCGGTGTCAATATCTTCTTGATCCAGCTGGTCTTTGGAGCTGTTGATTTCCCAGCGAAGTTCATCTCAGTCCTCACAATCGGCTTCACTGGGCGCCGGGTCACACAGACCTTGACCCTTATCCTGGCTGGACTCTCTATCCTAGCCAACATCTTTGTCCCACAAGGTGGTTATATGGTGTCCTGGATTTTCAGGGTTAGAACCAGAAGCGTTCAAGCCTTTGTCCTACCAAAGGTCCAAAGCCTGGCTGATATGGTCAGCTGCAGGGGAGGGAGAAGAGCTAGGAGAGCTGATCCATAAGGACTAATGGGGCTCAAGCCCACGGATATGTCACAGCTGTGTTCTTTGGCTGAGGTACTGCAGGGTACAGAACCACCTGCTGCTGCCAGGGATTGAAGCAGCTGACACGTGTTTACGACACCAGTTGCCCTGGCACTTCCCCATGAAGCAACCTGAGAGACATATTCAGTCTGATCCAGGCTGGCCTGTTGCAAGATGGTTCCGAAGTGGATGAGCCGCAGTCTGGGTGGGGTGACAGACCCAGTTTCAGAAACAAAGCTAGGTAAATGGTTATTAGTATTTGATCATTGGGCGAGGTGCTGCACAGACGCCAGATGACATCAGGGCCCCATTGTGCCGAGTACTGCACCGACCTAAAGGGAGAGAGGCCCTGCCCCAAAGAGCTCACAATCTAAATAGACACAACACAGAAAGGACTATCACTCTTATTTCTAGATGGCAAACTGAGGCAAAGATCCTCAGCTGGTGTCAATTAGCCCAGCTCCATTGATTTCTTGCCCCTTTTGGCTTTAATGGAGCAGCTGGGGATCTGGCCCCATTGATTGCAGTGCAGCTATGCTGATTTACACCAGATGGGGATCTGACCCCATCAGCACCAGTGGCTGGGGATACATCCCATTGACTCCTGACCCTTCTTGAGCATTTCAGCCTTTTGCCACGTGTTTAACCCTCCTCCATTGTGTGCTTCTCCCAAGATATGAAGACCCTGCGCACTGTTCTGGCTGTCGTTGGAAAAGGCTGTCTTGCTGCCTCCTTTAACTGTGTCGTCCTCTACACGAGTGAGCTGTACCCCACAGTGATTAGGTATGTAGAAAAAACTCAGAGGGTGCAGCTCAAACTTCACATGCAGCCCCATGGAACAGCAAAAGACCAGAGCCAAGTGACTAGTGATTAGAGTTGGTTGGGAATTTTTCATCAAAATGTATTTTTCTGATTGGAAAAAGCTATTTCATCAAAGCCAAAGCTATTCATGGGAAAGGGTTGGTTTGGAAAAAAAATGGGCGGGGGGGGGAGGGGTTGGAAATTACATTTCCAACACAAAAACTTCAGTTTTTTCTGGTTGGAAACAACTGTTTTTTGGAATATGTATTAAAAAACAACCCTTTTTTGTACAAATTCAGTAATCGTAATTGAAATGAAATGTGAATTCACAAAATTTTTTGAAATGTCAATAGTTCGTCCTGATTCAGAATGGGAAAAATGTTTGTTTTCCTGTCCCATGATACATTTTGAGATTTCAATTTCCTGACCAGCTCTTCTAGTGATTTTTGGGCACCTCAGGGGATGCCCACGTTAGGACACTGCAACTGGGCCTGATTCTCTGCAATTTCTGGGGATGTGCTATCTGAATAGTGAGGGTCCTCTGAGGTGTCTCAGTCTAGCCACCCAAAATTGCCCTTCTAGGAACTGCCACATCAGATCAAAGATCTAGCTAGCCCTGTCCCAGCTGCCAGAAACCCTGCACTTGTGTAGTAACCTGCCCCCAGGAAAGTTCCCATTTGTTAAGATAGCACCTAGAGACCACACCAGAGCCCCATTGTACCAGGTACTCCACAGATCCTGAGTGAGATCAGGGCCCCCATTGTATGAGGCACTGTACACACCCAAATTGAGATTAGGGTCCCATTGTGCCAGGTGCTGCCCAGACACCGTGACAGCAATCTCTGCTCTTCACAATCATAATAGAGAAGAGAGATTGAGAGTGCAAGGAGAAAGGGATGAATGGAGAGAGGAAGTGACTTGCTCAAGGTTACACAGTGGGTCAGTGGCAGAGCAAGGAAAAGAACCCAGGTGTTCTGACTACTAGTCCACAGGGCCTGGCTGAGAGGTACTGCTTGTCTTATTGCCTGTGAGCTCCTTAGCCCAGATTTTTCTCACCACTGTGGCTTATGCTAATAGCTCTGTCTGTTATGATTTCAAATTCACAGGCAGACCGGCATGGGTTTGAGCAACACCATGGCATGCTTGGGCAGCATCATTGCCCCATTGGTGAAGATGTTGGATGAATACATTCCCTTCCTGCCACTGATCATTTATGGAGCTGCCCCAATCATCTCCGGTATTGCAGCGACCTTCCTGCCAGAGACGCTCAATGTGCCATTGCCTGAGACCATAGAGGAGTTGGAGACACGGTTAGTAGAATCTATTGGGAGGCAGGAAGAGTAGCCATGATGCACTGGGTGGGGGCTTTGTGATATAGACATGGGTCCACACAGAGAGAGCGCGCACACAAGAAATGATATGCATGATTAGATAATCTGATCCCACTGATTCCAGTGTAGCTATGGCTGATTTTACACCAGGTGGGATCTGGCCCCATTAGCTCCAAGCATGTTTTAAGCCTAGTACATCTCTTACTGCTTGTATAAATGTTAATATTTGATATTCTTTTTCATTGAGACCCAGGCATCTGGGAGATGAAGAACAATAAATGAAGATCCTTCTGAAACCCACCATGCCAGACCCAGCCAAGGAAGCCAGTTAAGGAAAGAAAAACGAGCAACTGTTGTAGGGGCTATGGGTACAATTTTCAAAAGTGCCTAAGTGCCTTAGGAGCCTATGTTCCATTTTCACCAG